GTGAACCAATAGGGGGCAATGTTGTACAATAAAGCAGGAGGACAGAGCATATGGCTGTCATAGCTGAGTTACAGTCTGTACTGCACTGTCCAGGAAAGTGAGGTTCTGCAGAATGTCATCTCCATCTGGTTTCTCAAACCACTTTGAAACAATGAGACCATGTATTAATTCATTTAAACTGTTGGAAATATGTGTTCATTTATTTTCATTTAATTAATATGTTTTTAATCCTGTAATTCTCTCTTTCTTTTTTGCCAGATTCAGAAAAAAACTCTGGAAATGAACTTGAAGTCAGCGCTGACATCAGCATCATGTTACCAACAGAAGCTCTCAGTAATATTATCTAAATTACGTCAAAACAGATCTTAAACACAGCTTTAGTTGTTGTAAAGTTTTCAGTTGTCAGAGCTCGAAAATCAGCTAAATCACACACATGACATGTTCTCATGTGTCCACCTTGTTTCATTTATTTTAGTTATTTACTTGGTCTTACTTGAATAGTCCGTCCTAAACTACATAAAAAAACTCCCAGTAAATTAACTTGTCAAAACCTGCAGAAAGTTCAGCGATACAGATGGTGGCAGCCACCACAGGATGGCTAACACACCTAAACCCATTAACACAAAATACAGTGATAGCATAATAGCGTCATTATAACATAAAAAGAGGCTTTACTAGTTTCCTTTGTCCTTCCTAATTATAAATTATTTGCTTGATAATTATTCTAATCAGCCAATGTTGGGTTTAAAAAAATATATACATATAAATAATGACTGTATTTCACTCTCAGACATCAACACAAGATCTCTCTTGTGTTGATGTCTGAGAGTGAATGACACCCTTTCCTAGAAAAGCACAGTCTCAGGTAAAAAACGCAACATTGAGGAAAATATGAGTCGAGGGTCTTTGAATGAAAAACACCCATGAGAGCAGCTGCTGCGGCAGGATGAGTGAGAACGTAGGTGGGGATGTGTGGGATGTTATTTGTATTGAACTAGGTACAGTGTACTGCAGATATTGCTTTCAGACACAACACGTCAATAATGGTTAATAATTATTTCAATCAGTCACTGTTGTGTCTAACAAAAATACCTGAAAAGTATTAAATATACTGTAGCTAATTAATTATCATATTCATCTCTAACACAAAGACACACTACATGATTCTACTTCACTCTCAGACATCAACAATCAGCAAGAGAGACAAAGCCCCCTTTTCTAGAAGAGCACAATTTCAGGTAAGAGAGTGTGAGAATGAGTTGAAGGTCTCTGAATGAAAAAACACCCATCCATGTGTTGAATTAGGTAAAGTGTATAGCAGATATTCTTTTCAGACACAGCACGTCAATAATGGTTAATGATTATTCAAATGAGTCAATGTTCTGTCTGAAAATAATATCTGCAGTACAGTAAACCTAATTCACAATGCATTCATTTAAAACAGAAAGACTTTGTAAAAGAAATAATAAAAAAAAAGACACACTACATGATTCTATTTGACTCTCAGACATCAACAATCAGTAAGGGAGGCGTAACCCCCTTTTTCTAGAAGTGCACAATTTCAGGTAAGAGAGTGTGATGTTGAGGAAAGTATGACTCGAGGGTCTTTGAATGAAAAACACCCATCCTGAGAGCAGCTGCTGGGACAGGATGAGTGAGAATGTAGGTGGGGATGTGGGGGCTTTGAAACCACAATAGGTAGGTAAGAGTCACGGGTTCACCTCCCCCTGCTCAAACAGTATGGACCTGACATCCTGTCTGTCAAATGCACAGAGACACAGCAACACAGGGAGACAAGCAGACCCAGTCAGACTCCAGAACAAGCCAGCAGCTCCACGCTCTCTGTCAAGGACTCTTCATGTGAGTATAGCAGAGGTAAAGAGCAGCATTTTAAAGTGAGGTGACGCCATATGACAGGATATATAATGGCCAAAATACGTACACATTTGGGGCTGAATATTATATTGTGATATCAGGCAGGCAGACATTGAATTTCTAAATTAATAGCACAGTGAAAGGAGCTGTTTGTGGAAGCATTTTATAGCTGTTCTTCTGAAGACAGAAAGAAACAGGTTACAAATGAATCTTAATTTTTCCTTTAACTGAACTTCATTTCTGATTCTGACAAGAATATACATAATGAATGCTTCATAAATATTGTGAGAAAATATTTTTTATAGTCTGAATGAAGCCGACATCTAAGAATCTGTATTTTAAAACCTCCACTAGGCTACAACATGTCATGTTTCACATCATTAACACTTTTTATATTAAGATCCTCATCAGGAAATGGTCTAAATAATACATTCATGTCAATTCTTTTGCCTGAATCTTTTGCGCAAACAAGATCTCTCTAGTTCTTCACTAATAATCTCAGCCAGTCCTCTCTGCTGTCACTCTGTGTTATTGGAAGAGGAGTGTCAGCCATTACAGGCTTGGCAGCTGCACTGAGCTGCAACACTGATACTCTGTGGGAGTCAGATTATCATAGAGAATGATGGCGGCTTCAGGGGACTCAGGGAAGGGCCAAAGGGCAAGGCACTAACTCTCTGGCTCTGACATTACCCGAACTAGAAAGAATACAGTAATACTATAGCGCAGATTGCTGTGGCTACAAGCATACAACATACAACATGTTCTGTAAGGAACATTAAAAAGATAAAAATCCCCCAAAAACAGCTCGGTTCCCATAGGAAGTCGTTATTTTCCTGCCTGAGAATATGCAGCATATCTTGTAAGATTTTAATGAATTTCGACAATATGGATTTCACCGATAAATCCAAATTGAATCACTGGTGATTGGATTATAGAACAGCCCAAGAGATATTAAAAAAAATCACTAGCTGTTTTAATGGCCTTTTTACAAGGACCACAAATAAACACAATTTACATTGTTATATATTTCCACAGTGAAAGGGATCTGTTGAGAAAACGCCATCATCACTAATGTAAAAATGTAGGGTTTTATGTGTCTTCTAATCTGTCTGCAATTGTTCAGTGTTTTGACAGTGAAAATAGACGCCTGGGTGATATGAAACCGAACGAAAACCACAAGCATGTTGTGTGCAGAAAATGTTCTGCAGCGCTAAGAAAACGAAAATTAGGCTACATGAGCAGTTGGATAGACTGAACGTTGTAGACAAGCAACCTGGTTTGGGTGTTATCTCTCGCTTGATGAACGCAGATCTGGCCCTTTGCTCTCATTTGATTACTAACTCTGGTTTAAAAGATTTGCATGAACAGGTAAGAAGTGATCCGCTGCAGTAATAAAATAGATTTAAAATGTTTTTGTTTTTCGGCTAATACACTTACTGACTTTCGTTTTTTTAAATATATTTTAGCCCAATTATTTTAAAAGCATGAATTTCCAGCAGCGATGCAGATATTTTTTTTATTAAAGTTATTTTTCAGCGATGTGGACAGATAATAAGTTCCTCTAACAGCCTGTGTGCTGTCGCAGCCGCAGACTCTTGGGTGGAGGAGACACTTTGTTGTTTTGTTAAAGTCCCAATAGGCGGCGCTGCAGACTTGCATTCTGGGCACCAGCTCTCTGCAGCACAGACAACTGCAGCAGCTGAAAACTCCTGTCAGTCCTGCTGAACTCAACATTTATGAATTGCATATTTATGTTAAAAACGAAAGTTTTCCGCCAGTCGCTTTGTCATTCACATAAATTATAAGGTTGTTCAGGGAAATAACTAAACATGTCGTTTTGACATGTGAAAGGAGAAATATCAGTAGAGGTTTTTCACCTTTGATTTAAATATGGAGAAATACTTTCTTTAAATTTATATCCAATGAACTTTTCGGTGACTTAGCTTTGGATGGAAAAATTGATAAACATGTTCGTTTATTGACAACCTGCTGAAGTAGCCTCAGCTGCTCGTGGCGTAAAGACACTTCTCTGCACATGCGGCACAAAGACTTTAACTTCTGACTCTGGCTGTCAAAAGTTAATTACTTTACACCTAAATCTGTGGCGAGAAACCAGCCTCAATCTAATTAACGAGCAGTCTAATTAATTTCATTTTCTTTGTTATTATTCATTAAATTAATTTTTAGAAGCACTGAAAAAATCTAAATACGAAGTTTGTGAAAATATGAGGAAGATTTTTGAATCTGCTTTAGAAAGAAATTAGTTCTGCTGATTGAGGTTGAAAAATGAATCCATACATGAAGCCCCTTAACATATTAGGTAATTCAATTGTACACATTTAATCAAATACAATAAAATATCTGTTTTTTTGAGAACATACTGGATGATACGTGTTGCAATACATCTATTAAATTATAATTACACGGGTAAAACTGTCTAGACAACCTGTACGATGCTTTCATCACGATTAGATGAGTCAGTTTTATTTACGTGTTTTCACACAATTTAAAGAAGAATATCAAACTGTGCAGAAGGAAAAAAAAGAGCAGCTCATTGTCTTAAAAAAAGCAAGTGGCTTCATCTGTTTACTTTATATTTGTTCACCATGCTGCCGATATAAGGATGTTTTCATTTCTGTCACAAACCTCAGAATTTTTTACTCTTACCACAATGAAATGCAACGATTTAATGTGGTGGTTCTTGCATGTGCCCTCCATTCTAGCAAATGGGGTAGAATGGTTTTCAAAAATCTTGTAAGCGGCTCGAGTATCCAAAAGCACGTTTTCAAAAGCGTGGAGTTGGAGGAAAAAATGATCAGGGTTTCCTCCTGCGCTTCCAGTCATGTCTCCAAAGGAAGGTAGGCCTATCAAACTTGGCTATATGGTATGAGAGGTGTCAGTGGAGGCAGGTTGAGCTGTACACGCTTCTCTACTATGGTCTGGAACCCTAGTTGCTATCCAAACACAAATAAACAGAGGAGGAACATTGGAGTTAATGATAGAGGACGGGGGGTGGAGGCGTGTCGGAGGGCGGGCTGAGCACTCCAGAGCCCCGGAGCCCTGAAAAGTGAAGGACCGGAGCGCATTACGCACACTTCAAGCCCGAGCTCCGGAGGAGACTCCCACGCTGCTGCTGCCTCTCCTCCAAACTTCTTCGTCTCTTTCCACAACTTGTCACATCTCTGCAAAGGTCCGAGACATCAGAGTGGGCTGCATGGCTACATGAAAGTTTCATGGACTTGGAACTTGGAAAACTTTTAGCGGCGCTTTATTGGAGCTCGTCGCCTCTATAGTTACTGTGGATTACTGACATACCGCAGGACCTTTGGCAGCTATTTATTGGGGGTAAGATTGTGTTTGGCAGGGTATATGTCAGTCTTTTGCAAGAAGGGAACCAGCCTCACTCAAATCACTTGTTGTAACTTTCTATCTGAGGAAAAGACTTCACTTTTAGGCGTTGAGCTGTAAACCAATGTTGTGAAATTGTCTGTAAAAATGTCAACTGTTCATGGACAGAAACTAAATCAAATGTTGTTTCTGAGGGTGCTTATTGCTTCGTGATAATCACCAGCTTGAGGTCATAGTTCACCCACGTTTTGACATCACTGGTCTCTGTCCATAGCACCTAACAACGCTGAAACAAGCAGTGGCCCTCGCGTTATAGACTTGTCACGACTTATAGAAATTTAAAACCTTCTGCCAAAGAAGGGATTTAAAGAACAAGACGAGGCACCGAAGCTGCTGTCAAAGTCTAAATGAAGTCCAGAGGTTTTTGAGGGGAGAACAGGTTGAACAAAGTTGTACCAATGGACAAAGAACAACAAGTGCCTGCATGGTGACTTGTGTTGCAAAATTATACTTAAAGCAGAGTAGAAAGAAAGATAAGATCCTGTCAGTGAAACAAATAGAACGGCGTGACTGCAACAAGCGACTAGTTCTCCAGCCTGCATGAAATCAAATCTACAGAAACTTTCAGGTTCGCTAGGCTTTGTGGAAAAAAATATGTTAAAATGTGATTTGGCCTGATCAGTCAGAAACGATTGTAATCTGATTATATCATCTCCCCAAAAGAGAAAAACATAGATTTTTCCTTCCAAATCTAAAGGTCAGCTCGCTGCTGCACCGCTGGCTCTCTGCCAGTCCCGCTTTCACCATCCGGAGTCTTGAACTTACACGATGGATTTTTTTTTTTTTTCTGTGTGGGAAAACATAACTTGCCATCCCCACAAACATGGAACCTGTCCCTCTCATTCCTCGCACTGTCAGCTCACCTTATGTGTCCTACATTGTGGAGATTGACAGCTTCTGCTTTTATTTAAGGCAAACATTGCTCTGCATGAAAGTAGGTTAAAATGCCCGCAGGTTATTTGCTACCATGTTCTCCTGCCCAGGGGAAACAAAAACATGCAGCGTGAAATAAAACAGACCTAAAAAGCAAAATATTAGTACCTATAAAATTTGCTGGCTACTACCCGCAACCATAAAAATAAAAAGCACATGCATTTCCAGAAAAGATTAAAATAACTTTCTTGTGGTTAATAGGCACCATTTGTGCGTTTTGCTCTGACTCATGTTCGTGCACTTAATAACATATTTGATCTTTGCTGGCAAAATTTCAAACTTCTACAAATCTACATACAGAGCACTTGTTTTGCATCGTCAAACATCAACTACAGCCTCAAACACAACGTGTCTTCTCTTATTACCTCGTGTGAGATTTAATGTTTAATTCAGATGGAACTAAATATGTCAGTTACAGCATTTTACTCCCACGTAATTTAGTTACAATTTCTGTGACTGATGTGTTTTCTAAAATTGCTTTGGAAGCATCTTTGTTTTTCAGGAAACAACTTTTCTTTTGCTATAATGCGTGAAATACATGTTTATATGATCTCAGTGGTTTTGCTTAAGACAAACGGGTTTTTTCATTTCATACTGCTGCAGCTTTACATGTTGTTCAGTTTAATTACCTAATTACCTCCATGTTCAGTGCACGTTTTTAGGAATAAACTAACTAATTAATTTGCGCCCTATTCTGGGTTCAGATTGTTCATATGTGATACTGGAGGAATATGATCACTGCTGTCCTGTTAGATTAGAATACAAAATATGCAAACACATCTCTGTCAATAAAATATTTGTAGGTAGGCAAACAGGTGGTTTTTACTGTATCATGATCTCTAACTGAGGGTCACACTTTGTCTGCCTTTGTAACCACATAATTACTGGCTCTAATGTGGCATTTACACACGACGATCATCTTTTTCTCCCCAGGGTTTTCACCGTGTCCTCTGCAGAGGTCTGAGTCGAGATGGGGAGCAAAGCCCTGCACGCTCCGATCCCCCTGCACCCGGCCCTCCAGCTCACAAACTACTCCTTCCTGCAGGCCGTCAACACTTTCCCAGCTGACCAGCTACAGGGACTGTACGGCCTGAGCGCGGTGCAAACCATGCACATGAACCACTGGACTCTTGGTTACCCCCACATTCAAGGACTGAGGTCGACGATCACAGAGATGGCAGCCGCCCAGGGTCTGGTCGACCCCAGGATTCCCTTCCCAGCGATACCCTTCACAGCCGCGGCGCAGCTCTTCCACCCGAAACAAGCCGCCGTTGCGCACGGCGTCCCCTCGCTGCACAAGGACAGGCCGAGATTTGACTTCGCCAACCTGGCCCTCGCTGCCACTCAGGAGGACCCGCCGAAAGCTGCGGATCTGGCGAAGTTGGCGTCGGGACTAGGGGGAACCATCTCCGAGCTGAGCAAGCTGTCCCCGGAAAGAAAACCCACCCGGGGCAGGCTCCCGTCCAAAACTAAAAAGGAATTTATTTGCAAGTTCTGCGGCAGGCATTTCACCAAGTCCTACAACCTTCTCATTCACGAGAGGACCCACACAGACGAGAGGCCGTATACCTGTGATATTTGCCACAAGGCCTTCCGAAGACAAGACCATCTCAGAGACCACAGGTAAGACACATTTACGCAGCATGTATTAATTACGCACTGGGGTCAGACGGGGGTCTAAAATCCCCAGCAGCAGTCCTGACTCTGTAGGCGATTTAAATACAAATATATTTATTTCTTAAAATCACATCTTCACAATTGGCAATTAAAAACATATTCTTCATTTTAAACATAGAGACAGGCCCGTTCCCGGAGTTTTCTCCATGAGGGCGCTAAAGCACTTTTATGCATCAAGTTGGACACATAACTTGCGCAGTAGAGATTTTTCGCCCTGTGACTCTGGGGTTTGTAAAAGCTACAAGAAAATCCATGCATGAGCAGACATTTGATTAAGTGCGATTTCTGTTTTACAGATACATCCACTCCAAGGAAAAACCATTCAAATGTCAAGAATGTGGGAAAGGATTCTGTCAGTCTCGAACTCTAGCCGTCCATAAAACCTTACATATGCAGGTAAGCTGGAAATATTAACAGTCACCACGATGTTATCCTCACCAAACTATGTCATACGTTATGATCATAATTCACCTATTCTGCACGGTCCATTGCATGCATGGGGATATTCATAAGTCTCACAAAACCATTGCGCCTGGGCAATAACCAAATTAAAACAAAAATGTGAGTGAGAAATACACATACAAGCTATATAAAAATTATTGTGTAAATCAGTTTGAGTTATAACTGACACAACAGTGGATTTAATTATTTTAGTTCTACACAATTAAAGGGAATAATTCTTTGCTTGCTTTAAATCTAAACAGGAGTCTCCCCACAAATGCCCCACATGCGGAAGAACCTTTAATCAAAGAAGTAACCTGAAAACTCACCTTCTCACCCATACAGACATCAAGCCCTACAGCTGTGGCCGCTGCGGAAAGGTGTTTCGGCGCAACTGTGACTTGCGACGGCACAGTTTGACGCACAGCCCACATCAGGACTACTAGCCTGGACAGACTAACAAAATAACAATGGACAAAAAGCAGGAAGACAAGTCAGAGACTCCTTCTACTTCTTCTTCTTCTTCTTCTCCTTTTTTTTTTTTTTTTGTGCAAAGACAATCTCCAAATCAGGACACGTTTACTGCAGCACAGTGTAGAGTGGAATTTGGTTGCACCTCAAGTGGGACAGCAGCGGAGCCATGGCCATGTCCAGCTTTCAAACCACCTGTAAATATCAAGACCATGTACATAATGTTGTTTTTTATTTTCTTTTCTGACCTTGAAATTATAAAGTTGTCAAAAACAGTCATAAGTTTAAAGTATGTTAAATTGTATTTTAGAAATAAATATTTCCATGATACATTTGCGTTTCTTCTGTTTTTATTTCTGTTTTTATTGCCTTGAAACACGAGACACCATGTTACAGCCCAAAAGCAATATTTAGATTAAGCCATTAAGCATGCCCATTAATAGTCTATATGTTTACAGCCGGTAGGCAGCGAGAGCTTAATGTGGCTGAAATGTTGGGCTTTTTATAGTAGACCAGTAGTTATCAGTTGACAGGGAGCATGAATGACAACTGTTTAAGTCCTCCGGACCTGAAACTGATTCATTAAGCAGAAAGACAGAAAGTGTCATTGTGAGTTATCATCGATTTAAGAATTAATTTTACATTTTATATTTATACACAAATGATGATCATGTAGTTATTACCTATGCCGCAGTGTCTGCCATCCACCTATTAGTGTTTTTGTATGTCTCAGCTCCATTTTTATTTTCAATATCTGGAGCCTGCAGAGGCTGATTAGTATTACATTAGCCGCATTAGCAGCCATATCACATGTCTTTATCTGCATCACCTCTGATATAATAATTGACCTGCAAAGCGGCAGAAGCAATCGTCAGCTCAAAGGAAGCTATTCAACCCAACGAGATGAGACGGGCTGACACTGTCAACAGATTATTGTTTGGGAAATTATCAAGGTTAATTAATTCATCACTTACACTGAAAACAAGCACACAAATAAAAAATCAGCTGTTTTGTTTTTTGACAAACTTTTCTGTTCGATCCTAACCTACAATTAGTGATCATATAATGTCAGTGCCACTCAGTTTAGGACAACTCTATTCTACAAGTTCAAATCTGAGCCATCGGTTGAATGTTCTTTAAATTATTAATTTACACGGTATAAATCAGATGAGCGCTTTGGACGTCACGTTTAAACAACCAAGTTTAGACAGATTTGTGTAAATACATAAATACATTTCAAGATTTGGATTTCATCCATCTAACCTTTGATCGGACCACATTGCGCTTGAATATTAACCATGAGAACTGCGGCCTGTGACAGGGTGAGCTGATCTCTAATCCTTTTATATTATTATTCGCTGAAGTAAGAATGTCTGCCTCTGATTCCCTCCTCCTCTGTCTCTCAGTGCTGGCCTTCAGGCCTTCTGTTTCATGAGTTCACCAGCCATCACTTGCTACTGAAGACTCATTTAAAAGCCCGATTTTCACCTGACAGTGCAATTAGTTGCTTGAAAAAATTTCATTTATCTTTAATGGGCTCGAAAATAGGGTCTGGAATAAGTGGTTACAATAACAACAAGGCGCTCATTGCTGCTCAAAGGCCATTAACCAAGACCCAGTTTATTACGCACTGCAGGCTAGTATTTTCCTAATTACTTTCTAAATGGAAAGGCAACAAAGTCAGAGCAGAGCAAGCTCATATTTACTAAAAGCAAGTGAGCTACATAATAATACCAAAAATAATTAATCACTCTCAATCACCATAGAAATGAAAACCGACAAACGATGGAAATATAAAAACATGAAATAGGCAATGCACATGCGATATAATAAAAAGAATAATTCTAATACTACTACTACTACTACTACTACTACTACTAATAATAATAATAATAATAATAATAATAATATAGATGTACAACATAATGTCAATCATTATTATTATTATATTATATTATATATTATTATTAATATTATTAGTATTTATTTTATTTTATTTTCATTATTTGAGAAAGTTACTCCTAAAATTTGTTTGTGTTATCACGCCATGAACTAATTCAATTAGTTCAGAAAATTCTAATCCATTTAAATAAACGAAAAAATTCTGAAGCCTGTGACCTATACTGTTATACTGAAGGCGACTAATAAGTGGCCTGTCTAACTGTAATGATGTAGAGGTAGGACCTATGTATAACAAAAATGTCATTTCAAGAGAAAATACATTTTCAACAATTTTGGAGTCCTCTCACATGAGAACAAAACTAGGCTGCATTACAATTTTAGTCTTTTAGCTCGTCTGAATTTGTTTTTAATGTGTTGAGGCCTTGACCGATGAAAACCGGATCTTGTTCAACAAGTTAATCTATTTTTTTTAACTCGAATCTATCTGTTAGTATATATAGTCCTACTGGAAATATTTTCCTGCAGCGTGAAAACCAGAAATTTTATCTGTTCATGACGATCACATAGTCTAAATAGAACAACCATAAAACAAAATATGTCCTCATTTTTAAACGTATCATTGTCCTAAACGGCTTAAATCATTAAAAGGTCGCGCATTAGTTTGTACACCTCCAAAATACTAGAATGATGCGAAGAATATAGGAAGTTCTTTATTAGTCCCACAGTGGGGAAATCTGCAGTAATACAACTATATTGTGAATACGTAGTGGTCAATTAACTAAATTGAACTCTTGTCAGCAGGAGCATAAGACTGGGTGAATCTGAAGAGAAAGTGTGACAACGTGATATCAAGTAGGCTAGTTTACTTCCTAGATCACATCTCCCATTGAACTGACTTCAGAATAATCACTGTGATAGTGAGTGCGCGCTTGTGCACATGCGTTGACGCACCCACGTACACAGTGGGCAAAGAGTGGACAGTCACTTGGTGAACTTCAACGGTGGATTGTGTCATCAGGAAGCTTTATCTAGCTGGCAAGGGAGAGACTGCACTGACGGTAAACATTACATTCCACACCTCGGGAGTAGGCAGAGATAACTGGTTAGAGTAAGACTGAGGTTAAGCATCATAAGACGTGAATGGTTAGAGGTAGGGTTAAGGTTAGGTTCAGGTTAAAGTAAGGGGAAACACAGACTCCATTTCCCCCAGAATACACAACTCCCAAGCACTTGGATCTGACACCAACCCTGCACTGACTGCAGGCCGCTGTGCTCCACTGACCCCCCATAGCCTGTGACAGACACCTACTTTTTCCATTTCATCTCCACTGCCCCTATTGACATCATTTGAAAATTCCATTATAGTTTTCTAAGCTTTTCAATCATTTCGATTTATTGGTTATGCAGGTTATGACTTTTTTGTTTGCTTTAATAGCTAGTAATTTCACTACTGCCTTGCAATAAAAAAAGTAGGCTATCTAAGTGGCAACACTATTAATATTAATTCATTGCAACTTTGGAAACAAAAATGCAAAGAGAAAAAGATTTGACATAGTCAAAGAGAACCTTGGCTGCAAAAATTACTGGTGTGTCCATGTTTTATTGTGAAGTAAAGACAGAGCTTAACCCTGTTATTCATAAATTCTGATATTATATTTGTTTATTAGGCCATGTGATTTATGATTCAACGGTCAACCACTATTCTAAAACAACAAATAAAGAATGAACAAATTTTGATTGCCTTTTACTTCAGCATTCATTATATATGTTATTTACCATTGCAGTTTAATTTAATTTTGTAGGACATGGCCTATTGAAAAAAATCACAAAAAAGTAGCATACACACTAACAATAGTCAAGTGCTGTCCATTGTGAAGTTTATTCTCTACTTTCTCAGCAAAGGTGAGCTTCCACGGCCATATAAGGGCTAGGGCATGCGAAAGAAACCAGCAATATCACGTGGAATGATGCATTCGCGAGCTCCTCGTAAATCCTCACTTACACAAAGAAATTTCGTGTTGTGACTGCTGTCACCGTTTGATTAGACATACATAACATAACAACGTAACGTAGCATAAGATATGTGCTACTATTCCATTACATTCAACTGGAATTATGGCACCTGATGCTGCAGTAACTGAATTAGAACGATATAACGTGCATCAGGTATTTACTTGACGCTCTCATGGATTTATTTCTAGTCGTGTCCGAAAGCGACCCTCTAAATATCACGTCACCCAGTCACGTATCACTGGAAATGTATAGTGCCTCGCTCGCCACTATTTTTGGTAATTTTAGGTCGTGTATGTATACTGAACTGTGAAGCTCAAATGTCCTATAGAAAAAAAGGCAACTCCAGGCATACGGAAGCCGCGTTGGTGTTTACTCATGACGTTTGTGCAGAAGCCGTTGAGAGATGTAGCTAACGGTAACGAGATGAATAGGTTATATTAAATATCAAACTCAAGAAATTTCCCCAGGATACAAACGGGAGTCAAGTAAGGAGAGGCTTTTCTATTTTTACCAGTGGCCACACGTTTTAGTCATGTCAAACGAACGAACTTAGGACGACTTCTTTTCAGTTAGCTTAGCTTCTTTGCTCTGCTGCTGTGGTGTATATAGCTAGAATGACAGGAGAACATAGCTAGCCTCTCTTGGCGTTCACTACTTCGCAGTAAGTAAAATTCCTTACTATATAGTAATGCACGGCTTCATTTAAAACACCAAGTTATATTTAGTTACATTGCTATACATTTGGACACAGAGTAGCAAACTACTGCTGACATTTTCCCTGCAGTCGCAAGCATAAAAAGTGAAGTCACATTAGCATGCTGGCTAATTAAGGCACCACTGTAAATTATAACAAACTACTTATAAGTAGAACCACTGAATTAAAAAAAAAAAAAAGTTAGTTAAAACTTGAACTGCGACCCACCCAAATAGAGTTATTGGTCTGTCTAAGTGTAAATGTCAACCAAATGTAGTCAAACCTTAAATCTCCCTAGATATAACTTACAGTATAGTTAGTCTTCAAATACATATTTAATGTTTATCACACTTTGGTGTCAGGATACGTTTACAGAGTGCCAATTAAAGAGCATTTCTCCTGTTTAGTGAGGGTTAGAACCATAACAATGTGCACAGTTTACTATAAAATTGTAACATACAGTTTACTGCTGAATTTCAGCATGAGGCTAATATGAAACGGTTATTATAACCTCAAATTTGATATATTAGTGGAATATGAGCTTATAGTGCTAGGCCTTTTTCAAACAGATGTTTTGACTTGTCATTACAGGAAAAGCACAGGTGTACCTAATAGCTTTAATTATGGCTCCATTCCATTTAAGCGTCCCAATAAACTGTGCCAGTAAGATGGCATTCACTGTACTTCTGCCTAGGAACTGACGCACCTGAATGTAATGCAGCCACCATTCATGTAATTATCTACACCTGCCCTCTTGTGCTTTTCAAAATATCTGCTGTGAAAAAAAATGTTTGTTCTCTGAAGTGTTAGAAGCAGTGGAGTCATAATGGCAAAAGGAAATTTAATACATTACTGCTGTAGTGTACAAATAAACACAGTGTTGAATTACATCACAATGTTCTGTTCAATGTTTGACGTGTGTTCAGGACAGGGACAAGATGTTGGAGTCCTATGTCACACCGCTCCTCATGAGCTATGTGAACAAGTATATTAAGAATCTTAAGCCATCTGACCTGCAGCTGTCTCTCTGGGGAGGAGATGTGGTGCTCAGCAAGTTGGACCTGAAGCTGGATGTGCTAGAACAGGTACTGTATACACAAGGTAAACCCTGCACTCTAACTTTCTTTTACAAGACCATGGTAGGCAATGTGGTTATTTTGTTTGCAGGAAGGCCTCGCAGTTCTGATGGATTATAGTTATGAGGTAGTGCTCAGTGCTACTAGTGGGAAAAATATTAACCAAAGTGGTTTTGTAACCATACACATTTAATGGTCCACCTTTTGAGATGAGATGGAGGTTAAGACGGTTATCAATCATGGCTATTTAAGAAAACAGAGACATTATGGCATTGCCTGATTTAATTGTGTGTCCCATATGGGATATCAATTTAATGAATATGAGTTTAAATATCAATATGCGTTTTTGGAAAATTTCACATTTCACAAGTCTTATCTGGTGTGAACACTTTTATAAGAAGCCAGAAGTATAATGTTGCCATGGATTGAGTGAGTTACACCGTGGGCTGCAAAAAAAAGTATGCCAAGTTAGCTTTTAACAGTTCCTTTTTGCAGTGTACCATTGGATATACTGACAACTATCACTGAATGAAAATTGAAAACCTGATCATTCTCAAGCAGCTTCTGAAGCGTTTCAATTCCTACCCAATTATGGATCTTTTCTCATAATTATGAGTCACTATAATGAAATAAGGTCTTCAAATGTTTTTCTCTTTTGTGAATGCAATGTACTTCCATAGCTAGCATGTAGTAGACATGACAGTGCTAACATTACTAAGTGCCTTTACAATACAATCAGATTTTAGATTGTTTCACTGACAACATAAAGTAAAAGGGCTGGAAAGCAATTAATGAATGGAGGAGCATGTGCCCCACTAGAATATTTTTTAATTCAAGTGAATCTACATCTTAACTACAGCATATGTGCACCGATCGGCCACAACATTAAAACACTGGTCTTAATGTTGTGTCTGATCGGTTTAGTATAGTTAAGGTCTATTGCTTTTACTAGAATCAGAAAAACATGTACAGGCACACACACAGTATCTTTATGGTCATTTTGGGAGAAGTTTGATAGATTTACTCAGATATTTTGCTCTGCAGTGTTATTTTGACACAGTGTTCTTTTTTTACGCTTGTAATGTCTGGATTAGATCAATCTACCATGAGTTAAAAGAATTTTCTCTTGAGTGGATTCTGACTGCTTCTGAAGAGCAGACCAAAACACTACCTAACCCAACAGAGATTGTGATGAAAGTTCTTATTGGAAGCAGCTTTAAGCCAACAGACAGTGGGAATTGTGTTAGCATTTTGATGTGTAACGCTATGTCAAAACCTTGGCAATTGTCTTTCCTTTGTTTTATTGCATTTCATTTAGACAGTACCACTTTTAAAATGTGCCATTAGAGATCATTTTCTTAATATAAAGAGTAATTTTTAGTAAAACATTGTGAAGATTATTGAGCAGACACACTGTAAATCCATGACAGCTTTTCCTCAGAAATATGTTTGGTTATTAGTTTTTTGGCTTACACTTACAGAGGAGGCATGTTAAGCCTGTGTGTAGGCAGTCTGGTTTCATGGGACTCATTCTCACACAGAGTAGTTCAAGATGCAGAACAGTGATTTGTCTGCCTCTGAGAAAATCTGACTGATTTTGTTAAAAGCATGACCTACATGTAATCTGTAGCTGTTGTTTTTACTGTCCTCTCATCTTCAACTATTAGTTGCAAAGTGCTGTTTAGAAAATGGATGGATTAAGTGTCCAAATAGTCTTGAAGCCTTAACTTCAATGTTGTCTGTATTGCATAAGTAATACTGGTAAAAATTATTCTAATAGTTATCTGTATCCTTTTGTATCTGTGCATATTTATAGGAGTTGAAGCTACCCTTTACATTCATGAGCGGTCACATCCATGAACTGCGTATCCACGTACCCTGGACCAAGCTGGGCTCAGAGCCTGTAGTTATCACCATCAACACCATGGAGTGCATTCTCAAGCTGAGGGATGGAGCTCAGGTTAGTTCTTTACTTTAATGAGACACAGTATATCCTTGATTCCTCCACAGGGCCAAAACAGGGCTGGCCAGATCTTCCTGTTATTTATGTGAAATTCCTCCTCACGCCAAAGTTAAGTTTTCTCATTCCTTTTTCTTTCTGTGTTTCCAAGAAGTTCTGTAATGGCCTTTGTTTTGAATAAACAAAGGCAGACTTTTTTTAATAACTTGTTGAGATTTCTGACCCTGGCAAGCTTGGTAAACTTCACCCTTTAGTGGAGTTGCTGTGACAAAGGCTTACTGTAATTCTGACCAGGTGTAAAATCACATTAAGAGAAACTATAACCTCCTAAATTGCTCAACATTCTAAATACAGTTCCACTTATGTGGTTTTGTATTGCATAAAATATACAGTGCATTCACAAAATATTCAGACCCCTTCAATTTTTTCACATTTTGTTATGTTGCAGTTTTATGCTAAATATATATATATATATATATATATATATATTTATTTATTTATTCCCCTCATTAATCTACACTCAATACCCCATAATGACAAAGTGAAAAGAGAATTTTAAGTTTAAGCAAATTTATTAAAAAGGACATACTGAAATATGACATTGACATGAGTATTCAGATTCTTTGCTACACCATCATCCTTGAGATGTTTCTACACCTTGGTAGGAGCCTACCTGTGCTAAATTCAGCTGATTGGAGATGATTTGGAAAGACACACACCTGTGTATATAAGGTCTCACAGCTGACAATGCAGATCAGAGCAAAATCCAAGCAATGAGGTAGAAGGAACTGCCTGCAGAGCTCAAGAGACAGAATAGAAACACAAACAATTTCTGCTGCATTGAAGGTTCCAAAGAGCACAATAGCCTCCATAATTCTTAAATGAAAGAAGTTTGGAACAATATATTTGGCAGCAATCAGAGAGAGTAAGACAGGTGAGCAAGAACCCGATGGTCACTCTGGCTGAGCTCCAGAGATCCTGTGTGGAGATGGTAGAAACTTCCAGAAATCCTGTCTCTGAGCTTTGCAGGCAGATCCTTTGACCTATGGCTTGGTTTTCGCTCTGATATGCAATTTCTGTTGTGAGACCTTATGCAGAGGGGTGTGTGCCTTTCCAAATCATGTCCAATCAATTGAATTCAGGTGGACTCCAAAAATGTCATAGCAAAGGGTCTGAATACTTAGTTTCAAAATTCTGTTTTTGCTTTGTCAGTATGGGGTATTGAGTGTAGATTGATGAGGGAAAAATATATATTTTTAATTTCAGCGTAAGACTGCAACATAACAAAATGTGAAAAAAACTGAAGTTGTTTTGAATATTTTCTGAATACACTGTAAATATTTTTCATATTAAAATACCATACATTGTTTGTTAAAAACAAAATCACAAGTATTTATTTTATTTTTTTCAAGCAGCATCTATTTATCAGATCAGCCACATCAATTCTTCTGGCTTTCAGGAGTTTTATGACTAACTGGTCATGCCACCACTTACTTCAAGTTGGTTTAGTGATTTGGCAAGGTGCTGTCATTTGACTCAATATGACACATTGTTTTATGGCCTGGGAACTCTGATTAAAAGCTCTCCATCCGTAAAGAGCTGGCATGATGACAGCCAATTATCCCCCCACACAAGCATGACATTTAAAAGATGAGTCTTGTTGGGAGAATCTGTTACAGACTAGCCACACTTACTAATGAAAGAACTCAGTATTATTCTCATTTGGCTATAGTGTGGTAAGGCACTTCATTGGCAGGGCTTAAAAGTAGTTAATTTGACACAGTTAAGTAGCAGTTACTTTTGTCTTTCTTTTCACTGCTTAATTATTCTAATGAGATATGCGATGAAATGAGTATAGCAAACAAAGAAACCAGAAGCAAATAAATCACTGCCTCATTCAAGTGAGATGATAGATTTATGCCTTTTTAAAAATGGTGATTTCTATTGTTCTCATATTTTCAAAAGCTTGCACACTGGCAGGTGATGTAATGACAGAAATGAGGAGCACATTTTGAATTTGGAGATGAAAATGTGTTGTCATCCATACTGCCAGAATTAAGTATTTTCAAATACTCTCTCAATTTAGCAAGAAAACTGTCTGGCTTTATTTTTGAATACATAGATTCCAGCACATACTGTATATCAGATGTTGTTTTCTCTGTATTTTTGTTATTTAAAAATGGTTGGTTCTACTTTGCCATTATAGTTTTCCTTCACTGACCAGAAATATTCAGAGAAACTCTGAGGTGAGGAGACTTAACTGAAATTGATCAGTACTATTTACTCTGCCAACTCCATCTTTAGCCTGTCATTGTTCTCTGTTTTATTCAGTGAACAGTGCTTCTCATGAACAAGATTTGTTTCACATCTCTGTCAAATCAGACTGCTTAAAGGCACAGTGTAGAGTTTCTGACCTGTAGGAGTGCTATGGAGCTATATTTTTTTTTAAATGATTGAGTCTCCATTTTGTGTGTCTCATGAGCAATGCACCAACAAAGACAGAGAAGAAGAGGAGGAGGACTGCAAGCTAGTAAACATAGATGTAAATGTTTCAGTTTTCTAACTTCTAAGACAAATCATCTTTGCAAATAGAAGGAAGAAAATACATTCACCATGGTTGTAAGATCTCAAAACATGCAATGTATTTTGGTGAGTGACACAGAATGTAAACAGAAACTTTTTGTTAAGTAGAAAACTCCACAGAGTGAAATTTCATCCTTGTAGATTATCAATAAGAAATGTGACTTTAAGCCCTGCCATGCATCATCAAGAGCATAAATCTGAGAACAGTTATCCCAAGAGAAATATTCATATTATTGTATTTAGTTTAGTCATAAATAATTTCATTTTTGAAGTGTGGTATATGGAAGGCATTTTTCTTAGATTTAGTTTTGGATAAAAGCCTGCTTCTACCTTTGCCACCCATGCAGTTTGCAAAATTGAAAGTGTAACTCAGCACTGGCCCTTTATGGGGAGGTTGAGGTTTCAAGGCCAGATGTCGCAGAAGAAACACATTTCAAGGGAAGTCAATTACAGCTAATTACATAGACTGCGGCAAAAAGATTTGTAACACTTGAGCTGCCCAGAACTAATGGTAAATATCATACTATGCAGGTGGCTACTGCTCATGCGATCAGGTTTCTAGTTCAATGGAAATTTAAACTTGTTTTTTGTGCTTCATACACAGCTTAAACCCATGTACCAGTAACGGTGCTGGTGTAATGCATGTAGTCTCAAAACAGCTGTTTGTTACAGATGTTTTCTAAAAGGTTTCTAGTCAAGAAAAGATTTTTGGTAAATTGCAAATGACATTTGGACAAATAATTCAGTGGTATGTACACCCATGAGACATAATTTGGAGCAAAGCCAGACGTACAACAGAAGTCCTTCTAGCGTGTGGAATTTAAATGAGCTGCTACACTTCTGAGTGGGAGGCAGCAAGCTGACTACTGTGTTCTTAAACCAAGAAAACAGCCAGTTTTCTTATATACTTTGAATCGGTGTAATTCAGTAACTTGTATTACCTTGAGTTCATCTTTCTTACACATTCAGTATTGCTAGAATGTCATCTCTGTGGGGGCATTTTCCCACTTTAGGCAGCCCAAAAAGAATTTCCTTGATTGAAGGAAAAGGTCTGTAGGCTTTTGTCACATTAGTCTTACAGAAACAAGATTATATTTCTCTGGAAGTTAGATATCCTATTCATATACATGTCAGGCCCTGGTCCAGTTTTAATCAGATCCTAGCAGGGATGCAGGGAGTTTGGCATAGGTGCATGCATAACTTGGGCCATGACAGTTTTCCTTGAAGCCCTCAAGTAATTTGGGTTATGGCCCACAGGACTTTAAAAAGAGTTGATCTGTGAATGGAAAATCTTGCACTTTAAGTTTAGTAGATTACTAGTGTTTCTTTTGTCCAGAAGAGACAGGAACTTTGTGGTGGGCCTCATGTGGCCAGAGTGTGGAAATGATAAATTATATCATTAATATGGTTTGTTTTCATAATTACTGTTAAAGTCGGCGCGCTGGCCTGTAAAAACATCCGTACATCTTTTGAAGTTCATTAAGCGTTGTGTAACTTGACCGGAATTATTTGGACCTTTTTAATGTTCGTGTTTCCCCTCGAGAGGAACTTGGTAATATTAGGGATATTGAGATTGCTCAATAGGACCCATCTGCAAAGCACCAAGAGCAGCTCACAATTATAGTTTCCAGCAAATGTGGAAATTTAGGAGTTCAGCAGCAGTTGGAGATTACAGCTCCCGCTGACAGTGTAATTGCCTAAAATAAGCTGTAATGAGGACTTGTAGTGCAGAAAGTATGGTAATAGAAAAAAATGTTGTCAACTTGTTTTGACATTAATTTTACAAACTGGAGGCCATTTAAAAACAAAATTAGTTTTTATATGTGAGTTATTGGTTCCTCAATTCGCATGGTGCTCTGATGCGAGCTTAGAAATCTTTCTTGTTTTTCTTATGGTATCAGTGCTACTTGCATAATTTCAAAATTAAACCGTTTACATGCTTTCTTTAGTGTACATATCTGTACACCACTTTTGTTTATTTTTCAGATTTATTGCACATTTAGCTTCTGCCTTTTATATTTTCTGTTCAGTTTAAGTTCAAAATTTTGTTGTAGGCTAGTTCTTGTATGAGTTCAGTTAATGTTAATTAGTTTGTACATCTCCATGTGAAATTAGACTAAGCCCTGGTCTATGCCTAAGAGCCCAATGTATGTAACAGGAGATTTGTCATGGGGATGAAAGGGTTTTGTAGTAGTCAACTTAAACCTATTTCTTCTTGTGCAAAGACACACTCAGTGTGTCCACTCTGGAGTTACTTGATGTGAATGAATGGTTTGATCTGAGCTCACTCTAAATTAAAAAGCCATCTAAAAATGTCAATAACTGTACAGGATAAAACAATGGTTTTTAAATCTGTCATTCTATATACAGAACCTGTATGGAAACTGGAGTTATTAATAGAACTCATAAGGTATCCA